CATTAGACTGACCCCTCACTTGGTAAGACAACTCCCACCCTTTCATGTGCTGTGTATTTATACCTGCTACTGTATTTTCCACTCCATGCATCTGATGAAGTGGGTTCTAGCCCACGAAAGCTTATGCCCAAATATATCTGTTAGTCTTTAAGGTGCCACCAGACTCCTTGTTGTTTTTGCAAAGTGCAGTGCACCACAAGTAGGTATCTAGTGTGCCACCCCACACTGTTAGACACAATGCCTTTGGGGAAATTTTTGTAATGTTTTAGGGTAGAAATGAGTTGTACAGCAATCTCTGGGAGCTAGGGATCAAGTTCCCATCATGCAACTTTCTCCATCCCATAATGCCATCCATATTCTATATTGTTCATGCTTTTTAAAATAAATCCCACAAACCCACACACCACTTTTTGCTGTCCACCCTCTCTGACAGAACCGAGCTCTGCACTATTCTCATGAATGTTGCAAATACCTAACACACAATCCTCAGATATTTACAGACAAAGAACTGCAACAATGGGAGACATGATGATTTCTTCAAAGACAGGCTGCTGAGGAAACACCATGAGGAGTACTTGTGGCACCTTAGAGACTAACAAATTTATTTGGGCATAAGCTTTCGTGGGCTAGAACCCACTTCATCAGATGCATGGAGTGGAAAATACAGTAGCAGGTATAAATACACAGCACATGAAAGGGTGGGAGTTGTCTTACCAAGTGAGGGGTCAGTCTAATGAGACAATTCAATTAACAGTAGGATACCAAGGGAGGAAAAATCACTTTTGTAGTGGTAATGAGTGGCCCATTTCAAACAGTTGACAAGAAGGTGTGAGTAACAGTAGGGGGAAATTAGGTTTAGGTTTTGTAATGACCCAACACTCCCAGTCTTTATTCAAGCCTAATTTGATGGTGTCGTTTGCAAATTAATTCCAGTTCTGTAATTTCACGTTGGAGTCTGTTTTTGAATTTTTGTTGTTGAAGAATTGCCACAATTAGGTCTGTTTTTGAGTGACCAGGGAGATTGAAGTGTTCTCCTACTGGTTTTTTAATGTTATAATTCCTGATGTCAGATTTGTGTCCATTTATTCTTTTGCGTAGAGACTGTCCGGCTTGGCCAATGTACATGGCAGGGGGGTATTGCTGGCACATATCACATTGGTAGATGTACAGGTGAAAGAGCCCCGGATGGTGTGGCTGATGTGGTTAGGTCATATGATGGTGTCCCTTGAATAGATATGTGGACAGAGTTGGCACTGGGATTTGGTTCCTGGGTTGGTGTTTTTGTTGTGTGGTGTGTAGTTGCTGGTGAGTATTTGCTTCAGGTTGGAGGGCTGTCTGTAAGCGAGGACTGGCCTGTCTCCCAAGGTTTGTGAGAGTGAGGGATCGTCCATCAGGATAGGTTGTAGATCCTTGATGATGTGCTGGAGAGGTTTTAGTTGGGGGCTGTAGGTGATGGCTAATGGCATTCTGTTATTTTCTTTGTTGGGCCTGTCTTGTAGTAGGTGACTTCTGGGTACCCTTCTGGCTCTGTCCACATATCTATTCAAGGGACACCATCATAGGACCTAACCACAACATTGTATTCACCCACAAAAACGTATGCTCCAATACATCTGTTAGTCTATAAGGTGCCACAGGACTCTTAGTTGCTTTTTACAGAATGAGAGAAGCACTGGAGGAGCAAGCAGCCATCACTGTCTAGAAACCTGCAACGCAGGAATGCACAGCTCACTCATTGCAAGCCTGGGGCTTTGGAAGGCTGGTGCATTTGTAATAGAGGCTTCCAGGATGCAGTGAATGAGATTAAATTGCAAGGCCCGTGGGTTTTTACTACGAAATCGTTGTTCATACGGGGCTCACTGGTGGATCAAGGCCTAACTGAAATACAGAAGGTAACCAAACAGCACACAGGAGGAATGCAGATTCTGGGAACACCCTGGGCTAGTACTGGTACCCACGTGACGATTTCTGCTTTAAATATATTATTTTTGACCTGACTGGGTCCCTTGAAAGCCGCTGCAGGCAGACGGTAAACGGGCGCAGCAGGAGGGGCCGTACAGATGGGGGCAGTGATCCCCGGCGCTCCAATCCGTACGTAATGACAGGTTTCAGAGTACCAGCCGTGTTAGTCTGTATCCGCAAAAAGAAGAACAGGAGTACTTGTGGCACCTTAGAGACTAACAAATTTATTAGAGCATAAGCTTTCGTGGACTACAGCCCACTTCATCCGAAGAAGTGGGCTGTAGTCCACGAAAGCTTATGCTCTAATAAATTTGTTAGTCTCTAAGGTGCCACAAGTACTCCTGTTCTTCTTTTTGCCAATCCGTACGGTAGCCCGGGGAGGCCATGGGGACGGTGCGGCTAGCCAAAAATAATACATTTAAGCATAAATCTTCACTTGGACCAGACTGTTCCCTTCCGCTCGGGGCCGGACGTTGCCGCGGGAAGGAGACTCCTCCCTTGTCCCCCATCACGGAGATTCCGATTCTCCCCTCGAGGGAGAGGGAGGAGGCTGAGGGAGTCACACCACACGCTCACACGCCGCCGGGTCACGCCAACAGCTTGGGCGGAGCCTCACGCGCCGCCTCTCTTTCCTTCCGGGCCGACGGCAAATGGGTTGCCATAGTAACATTAGAACTCTGAGACTGGGAAAGTTCCGCTTCTGCAGCCCCGCCCCATCATGTGACACCCCACCCCCTTCGGCCCCAGCCGCTGCCGTTAGCTTCCGGGAAGAGTCCGGTCCGGCGTACGTGGGCGCGCGCGCGTAAGTGCCGTTCGGCAACAGGGCAACCGGCAGGTGAATAGCCGCAGCAGCAGCAGCATGTCCGCGAGCAGCCTTGGCTACAATGAGCAGGGCGGGGAGGCGGCGACGGAACAGGGGCAGGAGGCGACGCCCACCACAGCCCCCTCCGTCCCTGCGGCCTTCGGGCTCTTCAGCAGCGACACCAAGAAGTAAGGGAAGAGGGGAGCGTGGCGGTTGGCGGAGGGCGTGCGAGAGTCCGGCATTGGGGCGGAGTGGGCAAGGCAGACGGTCCGGGTGGGGGCATACACTGACCGTTACCGCGCTCCTATGCCCAGCTGCGTATGTTGAATGAGACTCCGCTGGTTGACTGCCACAGACCCACTTACTTAGTACACAACTTCTAAAACAACTTCCCTGGAGAGCTGTTTGCGTGAACTAACTGCCCCAGGAAAACAAAACGATGCAAAATTAATGTACCGTGGTGGCAGGTACTGTTTTTAGAACCAGTCGCTACTTGATGGTACAGGCATTTCTATGCACGTTCTGAGTGTGATAGGTACTATCCAAAAGGGCTCTTGTAGCAAATCGGTGACTACCATTTTTTTGATTGCCGTATAAAACGTTTAGTTACTGCGTCTGTTTAAACAGTTGGTGTCTTTTGTTAATAGATAACAGAACAAAAATACACTTTAAAATTGTTTTAGTTTTAAACTGTTTTAGGTTGTAGTTCATCAGCAGTTTTGATGCTTAAAAGCTAGTGAAAGATCAGTTTCTATTTACAGGTAAATAAGCGCTCCAAAAAGTGCCAGTATTCTTACGGGGACACTTGTAGCTATGAGGTTTAAATTAGACAGCTCTATAGGTTGGTGTTAAACATAATGTGGAAGATGTTGTTTAGTTTTGCACAGCGGTTTCAGGACAAAACTGAGGAAATAGAATATCCTTGGATTTAGCATGGAGACTGTGTGTAAACATACTGGTACAGAGTGTCTGCATCCTCTTAAACAAACAAATCTGAAAGACAAGAAACACATCGCTTCCCGGCTCTTTGAGCTCTGGTCAAGTGAAAAATTCTTTAAATAGCAGTGTTCAAGAAAGACAAGGTGGGCCAGGTAATATTGTTTATTGAGTCAACCTCTGTTGTACTCCTGAGGGAGTTCTGTGCACAATATTATAGAATTGTGCAAAATTTATTTGTCAATAAATAAATGTGGAGGTCCAGCATGACAATGGGTAGCACAAACGACTGGCTGCATGCATAGGCACCAACTTCCCCTCTTTTCCCTGGGTGTGACCCCACCACTCCACCTCTTCCCCCACCCCCACTCCTCCCCTTCCATGAGGCCCCACCCCATTCCAACCCCTTGCCCAAAGTCTCCACCCCCTCCCTGCCCCTATTCCAAATCCCCGGCCCGCTGCCTCCCCTGAGTGCACCATGTTCCTGCTCTCTTCCCCCCCTCCTCCACCCGGAGTGTGCTAACGCTGCCAAACACCTGTTTGGCGGCAGCTGGGCGGAAAGTGCTGGGAGGTAGGCGGAAGAGTGGGGACGCGGTGCGCTGAGGGCGGGAGGAGGAGGTGGGGCGGAGGAGGAGGTGAGCTTGGTTGCCAGTGGGTGCAGAGCACTCACTAATTTTTCCCTGTGGGTTCTCCAGCCCCGGAGCACCCATAGAGTCGGCGCCTATGGCTGCATGGAGGTGGGACATCATCCTGCAACCCAGGACGCAGGCTTGGTGGTGAGGCTGCACCTCACCCTGACACAACACAAGGGTCAGGCATGCCCCAGAGGTCCATGTCCTGGGTGATCTCCCATCTCTGTGCAGCCAGTGCTCCCCACTGCCACCCTGGAGCCGCCACATTTATTTATTCACAAATAAAACTTGCAGAATTTTAAAATATTGTGCATAGAATTTTTAATCTTTTGGTGCTGAATTTCCTCAGGAGTAGTAGGTAAAGCAACTCACCAGGGTTAGCAGCCCTGTACCAGGTGCACCAAGTGTGGGCAGGCAGGCTCAGCCCGGCAAGATTCAAGTGTGAAGGGGGTTAGTGTGGGGATATCTAGGTGTGGGGTGAATGGGTTCTGTGTGGGGCAATCTGGGTGCCGGCAGCTTAGTGGGGGATTTGTAGGCACAGGGGCTAGTTGCAGGAGGATTCTGGGTGCAGGAGCAATGGGACTCTGCAGGAGGGTCTAGGGGAAGGTGGTTGTGGCTCAGTGGAGGAGTCTAGGTGCTGGGAGTGGGGCTTGGAGATGTGGGGATCCAGGTGCAGCTGGTTGGGGCTCAGTGGGGTAGTGGTCCAGATGCGGGGGGCTCATGGGATGGTCTAGGCGCATAGGGGGTGGGGCTCATCCGCATGGGGGTTCAAGTGCAGGGGGCTCAGCGGGGGCTGGTCTGGGTGTAGGGGTGGGGGTCTGGATGCAGGGGGGAGATGCTTGGTGGGGGTCCAGATGCAGAGGAGGTGGGGCTTGACAGGCGGGGTCTGGGTATGGGGGTCCGGATGCAAGGGGGTTGGGCAGATGGAGGATTAGCTCCCCATACAGTGACCCCTCCCCTGTGGCTGAGGAGTGATGGGGGCTGGAAGTGGGGGGCTGCGGAGCTTGAGGAGGTTTCTGGGGTTGCATCTGACCTGGCCCTGGCTGCTCTGTGCAGGGGAAGTGTACTCCTTGCCCTGCCCTGCCCAGCCCAGCCGGGACTGATAGCTGAGCCCGGCGCAGGGTAGGAGCCATTAGCTGGGTTGGGGCTGGAGAGGGCTGGGTGCGGTGGGATGGGGCTCGGTGGGGGGGGCTGGATGCAGTGGACTTTGAATGCAGGGGGGAGGCTTGGCAGGGTGGGGTTTCGGGTGTGGTGGCCTCAGTGCAGGGGTTCTGGTTGTAGGAGTGTGAGTCTTGGAGGGGGGTCTGGATGCATGGGGGTTGGGCAAACGGGGGGGAATCCCCTCCGATGGTTGCTCTGGGTACCGGAAACGATGCACCCACCCTGCTGGGGAGGGGTCCATGACTGCTCTTGTGGCTTCCCTTTGCTTCCCCATCAGAAAATCAGATTTTTTTTTAATTTAATTTGGATTTTTTTTATTTAAATCAGATTTTTTTGATAGGTTGTTTCCTCAAAAAGCATTTTATCTAAAGATAGTTTGAATTAAGGTACATTATAGGTCAAAGATCTCTCACCGTGGAATAGGGATTATAAATTCTAGTTCTATAGTATGAGACAATATATTCATGTAATGTTTAAGAAAAGTTTTGAAAATGAGTTCTAATAGTTCATGGATTAGGGACCCAATCTTATGGGGTTCCAGGAGCTTCTGTATAGATTATTTAGATTAATCTTTCTATCTACCCAATGGGACTCAGTGCTCAGTCTAGAAGATACCATCAGAGATGCTTAGTTTTGCAGTTCTCAAACTGTGGATTTGTGTCTCCAGAAATAACATGCTTGATAAGAGCAAAAGTGTTTTTAAATAAATAATATATAGAGGTGAGAAACAACAGACCTCAACCCCCTTGTCCGTCTGCAAATTTGTGTACACAGTCAATCCCTTACCGCTCTCTAAAAGTGCAAAGTTTCAGAAAGTTAAATGAACAGAAGATTGTTGTGGGTGAAATAGATCCGGACAAGGAGAAGAACTCTGGAGTTAAATGTGAGAAGCATATTCCAGAAGTCCTGAGGTCTTTCTGAGTGTAGCCTTCATTGATTTGAGATCTACCATACCATTCTCTCACTAGAAGGGAAAACCTATAATGGCAGCCGGCCGTAAAAGAGACTCAGTTTGGGAATATTTTAATGAAGTTCCTCTACCTGTGGGTAAGACAGGCATGTGTGCAAAATGTAAACAGTGCAACAAAGAAATGCAAGGCCTGGTTGCCCGAATGAAACAACATCATGAGAAGTGTTCCTTCTCAGGAGGAAGCTGCATTGAAGATGATGAAAGGAACATGTCTGAACATGCAGGATCTTCAGGTTGGTAAACTTTTTTTATTTCATACTTTCTTAAGGACTGCCTGTCTTCCTTCTGGACTTTTCTTGAATTCTCATGTTTGAGCAGAAAATGTAGTTGTTACTCTATGGCACTATCATTTTAGATGCAGTTGTGATAAAAAATAAATAGCTGAAATAGGCAGATCTTCCTCTTACAATTTCACCTTTAAAGTAGTACTGAGTGTCAGTGAATGCAATGAGTAGTATGAGATACTAAATGAGCAGTATGGTAATAATTAAATAACTGCATTGACTTATTTTGTTTAGGAGAATCCATCTTCAACATACAGGATTCTGAAGATTATCCACCTTCAAGATCACCATCGCTTTCTATAGTTTGAGTTATCTGCCATTGCTAGTGTTTCAGTCACATCATGTATGTCACATGGCCACAGTATATCACCTGTAGCAAAAAGAAAAAAAATCCCCATCATCCAGAAACAACCATAGATAAGTTTGTGATAAGAACCAGCAGATTACAAAAAAGAGGTAATTGATAAAAAAATTGCCCAGTTTGTTTATGCAACAAACTCTCCTTTCCGCATGATTGAGAACCCACACTTCATTAACATGGTTCAGTCATTAAGACCAGGATACAGTCCACCCACCAGAGCAGATGTCGCAGGCCAAATTGCTGGGTAAAACGTATGAAAGAGAAATTGATCAGTGTGCAAAAGGTCTAGGGTGAAATTGTTAACCTGAGTCTTGATGGGTGGTCAAGATTCTGTTGTATATGCTTGTGTGACAACAGAAGAAGGGAATGTCATCCTTACAGAAACACTTGATACATCAGGAAATACACACACGGCAGAATACTTACAAGAAGTAGCAGTAAAAATTTATAACAATCTGTGGAAAAAAAATTCAAATATCTCGTACGCAGCTTGGTCACATACAATGCTGCAAATGTATCCAAGATGAGAAGAAATTATTTAGAAGAGAGTGAAGAGAGTCCCAGGCTAATAACATATGGTTGCAGTGCTCATTTGATACACCTCCTAGCCAAAGACTTCATTGTTCCAGAAATAAAGGCTAATGTTGTCGAAATTACAAAATACTTCCGTAACGACCACTTTGCAGCAGCTGCTCTGAAAAAGTGGGAGGAACCAAGCTAACTATCCTACAAGACGTGTGCTGGAACTCAGTAGTGGATTGTTTTGAGCACTATATCAAGAACTGGCCTAATCTGATGAAGTTTGTGAACAAAATTGTGAAAAAATAGATGGCACGGTCACAGC